GGGGGCTTGAGCACCTGCCCCTTTTGCTCCATGATCCCAATGTGCCCTTTTGGTCCCTTTTTTTTTTTTTTTTTATTTGACACATGTACTGAAATTATTATTATTATCTCTTTTTTTTGGCAAGAAAAACAATACAATAAGCCCTCCGGTCACATTGTTACCTTTGACCTTTTGCCGGTGACGATGCACTTGCCTCTCGCACAGTCAGATAAGGCGGCTAACTGCGGAGCTAAAGGTAGCGAACATTCCACATTACACTGTGGTCGCTGCTCATTTGGCCCTAAGCAAGATCAACCATGATCGGACGGATGGCTATGTCTTCAGTCTGCACCGCCTCTCCAATGTCAACCTGAATAAACATGTAAGTGAAACCAAATGAGCCCCATGGATGATGCAGTATTGTTTGATCTAAAACACTGTTTACTCTGTGCTTTTAGTCTTTTACATTGAAAATTATGCTTTTAAATTCACAAAAAACTGTTCTGTAATGATTACAGAACAGTTTTTTTGTGAATTAAAAAACATAATTTTTGGTGAAAATACTGGAGTAGGCTTGCTACTTGTCAGACAATGGAAAACTTTGAACGTTGTATAATTTCTCTACTTTAGCAAAGAGTAGCGGTTTAAACGGAGGAAAGTATAGGACGCGGCGCGCCTTTCTCTGAAGAACTACTGAGCGGCAGGAGACAGCCAGGTGAGGAAAAGCTGTTCTTATCTATCGATTCAGTATTTTTATCATACAGACTGGCTGTTGTTCTTGTGCTATGAGCTAGCTGCTAGCTAATGACTTTGCTAGCAAAGCAAGATAACTATAAAGTTTCCCTGTGTCCTTAATGATGGTAGGACATTCTTCAGTATTACTTATGCAATAGGGGCACATCGCCCGTCAAAAGCCTATAATCTCCATAATGGATCTGATTTTCTAATTTCCTTTGCTGCATGATGTACATTTCATTTATTCTAGCGTTAGGTAAATGTATCTTAAAGGAGAACTCATCCAGAACTACCATGATAGATATATGATAGATATAATGTATGAAGCTGGTGAAAACAAAATTGCGCAGCTTATGCAAGGAGGATCGGTTGTCAGACCTTCTTTTGTTGGCAATCAAGAAGGATGTGCCAATCATTCACAGTGAGGTTATTAACATTTTTAAAGACATGGCTAACAGAAAACTGCTGCTGTGAACAAAAGAGAACAAAAATAGCAAAAATGCTTAAAAGTTGGAAATTTGTTTTTAAACAGTTAAATCACCATGACGGAAAATAAGTTTTTGGATCATAATCTTGGATTTAGTTTGGGGGAAAAAGAAAGGCAAGAGACTGAAATAAATAAGACATTGACCTTCACTCAACACAGAAAAGATGAGACAATGAGGAAAAAAAGAAAAGAGAAACTGACAAGAAAAAACGAAGAGGAAAGATTGAAGAAAATGTATATAGGTACTTACAAAATACACTAAGGCACAAACAGAGTAGGCTTTTCTCATGGTGACATGCATTAATAAAATGTTTGCTTTTGTTCTTTTTTTTCTGCAGTTCTAGTTAAAGTTTGATGCAGCAGCTCTGCTTTTCTGAATGGACCGTCTCCATCTCCACTGTCAGTACAGCAAACCAGGCAGACATTCTTTTTTATAGATTACAGTACACTAAAAGGTTGCATTGTGCCCTTGTATGCATTTTTAACAGTTTAATTCTGTAAAGACAAAATATGTCTGGTGGTCCAGCTCTGATTTACATCTTTGGCTAAATTGCAGGTTTGAATATTGTAATACTTTCCTATAACAAAATAGACCTGCAGAAAGAAATTACTAATACAATATTTTACATATGCATAGTTCTATGTTCTTTGTAGAGATTTCCCTTTGCTTTGATTGTATGTCTCACAATTTTGTAATTTATCATTGTTCATTAAACTCTGAAAGCTATGTGACTTTGTTAATATTCTGTCCTAAAATGCGATAAGATGTGCCCTTTTTTTTTTTTTTGAGCACCTGCCCCTTTAGTGGTCTCTGCACGGCCCTGATGAGGAACATTCAATCACTTTTAGACTTCAGTCTAATATCACTCCAAGCTGAATTATCTGATCGAAAGGATCTAATGTTGAGTTGGAGCTCTTAGTTTGCTTAAACATTATGAATTGAGCCGGCAAGGTTTTATTTCTGCCGTGACATATCCCCTTCCTCAGAGCTTCACATTATGATGCGTCTCAAATGCTAAGTGCTCATAAAAGATAAGCGTTGACAAACTCTAAGCGAAGTCTTAGGAACAAAGTTAATGTTAATACAACACTAAAACTAAGGGATTATATTTATGTCTTATTATGCTTTATTTAAACATTGCTTTAAAATCCTTTGATACTCAGTTTGGTTTTAGTGATCATGACTTTCAACTCGTCAGTAATAACAAGTTGTTTTTTTTAGTTCTTTCATGCAAACGTTTTAAATTGTACAGCACATTGTCTTATAGCCAGTTTACAGTGAAAATCCCTGTTTTAGGAACACCAGAAATAATAAGACTTAAGTCATCTATATGGGATATAATGATATTTATGCATTTAGCAGACGCTTTTATCCAAAGTGAATTAAAGAGTAGACCCGTTATAGTATCTTTTAACAAAGTCTCTCATAAGAGTTTGCAGGAATTTTGGTCAATTTCTCCTGATAAAACAGTTGTAGATGACTCTGGTTTGTGAGCTGCCTCCCACTCCCACTCTACCTTTCAGCTATACCCTTCATTGGTCTGTATGTGCCCTTTTTCTAACCTCTATTGATACAGCACTGGCTTTATTCTGGGTGATCACATTCTCTTAACACCCTCATTTGAGCGTTTTCACAAGGTCTCTAGCTTTTGTTCCCAGGTTGTTAGACGTATTATGCACCCAAACACGATCTTCTCTGCAAGACAGAATCTGTCCCCTTTATTATAGGAACAGTGAAACCTTCAGATACCAAGAAATGATGCCTAATGATAAATCATACTTCTGAACGTAGGGGAAGGCCTAGAGGTTAGGGCATAGAGTTTGGAATCCAGACTTTGAGCTTCACTCCCACAGACTACCACTCTGGGTCCTTGAGCAAAAAGACCTTTTAAGGGGTCATAGAATGATTATAGAGGGTATTTGGCGCTGGTCCTTAAGGTCTGAATAGGGTGTGTAACTTTGGTTGGGCTGAAAATGGCATATTTGCTGTTCTATGATCCCTAATGCAAGCCTGGTTAAAAGCCCTAGAATGAAACGTCAGGTTTTCTTCCTTTCATGGTATGATAATGAATAATTAGATGAGCTGTGCGCTGATTGGCTGGTTTACAACGAGCAAAGCTGCTGAGCAAAGACGCATCATGGCAACAAGCACTCACTCACTGAAACATTGAAATTGTTGATATGGTAGATTGACCAGACGTCCTCTTTTTCCCGGACATGTCCTACTTTTCATACCTAAAAAAATGTCCTGGGGTAATATCAAAATCGTCCAGGATTGTGGTCGACTACAGTGAAGCACGTAGTCGAAACACACCAGGCACTCGAACCGAGCTGTCAGTTCCACGGCTGGTCCGGGAACCCCGGCGGACGGGGGCAGGGAGCCAGTGGGGGACGGAGCGACCAAACCCGACCCGGTGATGGTAGCCTGGACACCGGCCGCCCAAGCTTCCCCCCTCCTGCCTTATCTGCCCCCAGCCCCCCTCCTCCGGCTTAGGGAGGGCAGCTCATGGCTCTCTGCTGAGGTCCGGTCCAGTCAGCGGCCCAGCAGTCGACACCCCACCCCCCTTGCGCTATTGAACCAGTGGGCTGGTCTGTATGTGAATTTCGGGGAGTACAGGCCAGAACCAAATGAGGCAACATCCCTGAGTTTACGTCAATTCAGGGCTTCGTTTGGATTCGCCCATTTTATGGTGGAAGTTTAGAATTGTGAGATGGGGTGTGAGGTGTCGATGGGGTTTGAACTTCTCTGTACGTCCATTTCACCCACTGAACTATCGTTATTCATCTATAACTGCAGAGAGTTAATTTCATTGCTCTGTACTTGTGACAGTGTAATGACAATTTAAAAAATATATATATTTCCTGATATCATGGCTGGTTTCTTTCAGATTCCCAATATAGCATTTGTGCACCTCTTTGATAACATAATTGTTGAACATTAAGTAAATAGAACTTATCACGGTACTACTTACATAACAGCAAAAAGTAATCTGATAGAAAATATCATGTTATGAAAAATACAATATAAAACAAAAGAATTGAATAGAAAGTTACTTTATTGTACCACAATGGGGAAATTTAGGTGTTTACCACAGCAAAAAATGTATAGAATAAAACAAAACAAAAAAACAATGTATGTTTACATACAGAGAATGTAATAAGATAGTTCAAGCTAAAATACATCCATCTGTTTAAAGCACTTGAAATATTAGTGCTACTTACACTTTGAGATCAAGCATAACAAATAGGCTGATATGAAATGACTCTCAGAAGACTTTTGTGCAGGACTCCCACTAAAAAATGAGCAGAAGTCTGAGGGTTTAATTTACAGATGTTACATAAGAATTGCATAAAACTGTTTGGTTAGAACTCCAGTTGCATGTTTTTTTTCTTTTAAAAAAATATAGAGACTGAAACTCTTCCAGCAGAAACACTTTCTACTACACAGCTGGAACTATTGGGCTTCTTATGAAGAGTGGGCAGTACGATAAAAGCCCAGAGGGAGACTAGAAATAGGAGAGCGTAGGAGACCAGCTCCTACAAAAACCATCACTGTACAGATGTATTCACCATGAAGTAAGAATGGGATTCATTCTCTAAAGTCTAATGCAGCAAATGACCTGTGTAATGTGTATTGTCTGTTGGGAAATGGCCTCTTTTATAGACTGGGTAACAAGTTTCTCATCTTTCTGACAGGAAGTACAAGGTCAGGACTGCATTATCTGCACACAAGCAGGGAAGGATTTCTTAATAACACGCTGTAACTAAAAAGAGTTTTTTTTGTCTCTCTCTCTCTCAGCTGACGTACTTGCCCCCACCGTGGGGTGACTGCAAGTCCTCGGCAATGGACTCAGACTTCTTCAGCACTTACAGCATCACTGCCTGCAGAATCGACTGTGAGACACGATACCTGGTGGAGAACTGCAACTGCAGGATGGTCCACATGCCTGGTATCTCTCTGCGTCATACACACACATTCACACACAATGCATACATCTACATTTAAGAAGGCAGAATAAATGCCGTAGTGGAGGTTGCTGTAAACTTTCTGTAAAAGTGTGCGTGTAAAATGGTGACGGTGACAGTTTTACTCAAGGAACTGACAGTTTTTAGCAGCTGTCTTAGAAAATCACACACTTTCACACTCCAGTGGATCGGAAAACTCGACCATTTTCTCTTTGTGTTTGTGCAGTGATTAAATGCCTACCTCGTGCTTTTAATCACAGTGTGAGATCTCAGATGGCAAATTGAAAAGGGGGTTTGGCACAGAGGAAACATTTGGATTGGGACTTTGTTAACGCTCACTCACCTGCCACCTCTCCAATATCTCTGCTGTCAGTCGCAGATCAGCCTGAAAATCCGCCTGTGATCATCAGGATTTTATGCTACCTGGTTGTGGGTATAAGGGTGCAGAGAACGGGATAAATCCTCCCCGGTGGTTTGTACTCCAGTCCCTAGATCTCTCTGTCAGCTGAGTAATTGTTAGGGAAAATCCCATGAAATATTGCCCGTAGCAGGGAAGTAATTTTCTGTTCATCCACAGCAGACCTTTATTCAGTGTTGCCTTGATGGATTGGAATGAATGGCTGGACTTCTAGAATGAGATGGATAAGAACAATGTTGACAGAAACGTTTAAGCAGTGATAAATGGAATCAGAAATATCAGCTGTGCTGCTGCCATCAACACCTTTGTTTATAGATGTTCAAGATTGGCTTGTTTTTTCAGTGTAGTCCTGTTTCTCTGACTGTGACTGGCTGGATGTGCTCACTTCATCCTCTAATATGGGAGCGGGCTCAGAGCTCGTCTGCCTGGTTGTGTGTTGCCTGGACCCTTTTACAGCTGCTTTTTGTATCTCTGCTTCTGTCTCCTTGAACCCCAGTCAGCCTCGGCAGATGGCCGCTCACACTGAGCCTGGTTCTGCTGGAGGTTTCTTCCTGTTAAAAGGGAGTTTTTCCTCTCCACTGTCACTACAAGCACGCTTAGTGTGAGAGATTGCATTTGAATCAATGAGTCGATGCAATCAACTGGTTTTCCTTAGATAGAAAACTGAATCAATTTGACTGGATGATCTGGTTGAACTGGAAAGTGCCTTGAGATGACATGTGTTGTGAATTGGCGCTACATAAATAAACTAGATTGAATTGAAGTTCTATGGCAATACTCGTGAAAGAAGAGTAGCAAAAGTTGAGCCCAGATCTTTGTTGTCTTCTCTGCTTTCCTTCAAACTGATGCTGTTTTCTTTTTTCTTTTTTGTTTCTGCCTGTCCTTAGGAGATGCCCCATACTGCACCCCGGAGCAGTACAAGGAATGTGCAGACCCTGCCTTGGGTAAGAAAATAAACCAGCATGATGTGTGAAAACTGATAGTGTATATGTATCCCACTGTTCTGAGCTCTTGATCCAATCTGATAACAGATAATAGCGTTCCTTCAACATGATGGTACCACTGAGGCTTTCCTTTTTTGCCTCGCCACAAGCTAAAACCTCTCAAGCCTTTCATGTTCGCTGCTTTTTTTCTTCCTGACTTGCAGTCTCTTACTCCTCCATGGCACACTTGGCATGTTGCCCTCTAGTTGCAGCTGTCCCTCTTGCTCTGTCAGCATGCATCTATCGCCTGTCTTCTGTATTTCAATGTCTCTGAGGTCGTCTCTTTCTTGATGAGTCGCACTCAGTTGGCATTTTGATTGTCATGCCAGGATGAGGATAAATGAATCTGTCCCTCTCCTCTCTCTTTGGATCTCTGTCTTTTTTTTTCCTCACTTCCTCTTCTCCCTCCATCTGTCTCCTTAATTTTCTAGACTTTCTTGTTGAGAGGGATAATGATTACTGCGTGTGCGAGACTCCGTGCAACTTGACTCGATATGGCAAAGAGCTGTCCTTTGTGAAGATACCCAGCAAGGCGTCCGCAAAGTACCTTGCCAAGAAATTCAACAAGACTGAACAGTACATTGCGTAAGTCATATTTGATTTTATTTTTCGGATTCATTGTTCTGTTTATTGTGTTTGCTTCATCATCATATTGATTTTGTTCAAGGTAGTTTTATCCACCTTTCTGAAAAGGCTTCTTTACTAGATTTAGAAGCAGCTAAGAATTTAGGTTAGATGAGTTTTTAAATGAATCTCAGATTTCTGGAGAACAATTTAACAACTCTTTAGGAAGTTTTATTTTTTTGTTTTTTTTTACTAGTTTCATAGAAATTGGTGATTCTTCAAGCATTATTTTAAATTTCTTACTTCTACCAAGACAGGGTTGTAAGTTTAATGAAAAATAAAATATTTCTTGAAAATCTTTAAAAAGAAATATCTGAAAAGTGTGAATTTGCAACTAGCCCCTCCCTACTATGATTAGATTGACCTAATTAGCAAATAATCTACCTATATATAAAAAGAATTTGTCAATAAAGTCCTCATAGGTTGGTTTAAATGCTTCCCTACTATTTCCTATCTCTCTGGTATGCTGGCGGTTTTTTTAAAAAACACTTTACCTGCTTCATCATCTGTAGGATATTGTACCATGCTGACAGTGGATGCATTTGCGGATTTGTTGATGTATCTAACATCACCTGAGGCAGTTGGACTCACAAACAGGCTACACTCACTATATATAGTGATAATTAGGACAAAAGTACCTTATTTTGCTGCATTTCTTCTACTTTCTGCTGTTATCCTAATCAAAATGTTGTGATTTTCCATTTTCAGAATAAAAAAAATCTTGTCATTCTTGGTGTCAAATAACTACCAAGACCTCTGACTGACTTATTTGTGACCTTGTCTCACTGAATATAAAATTTGTTGAAATTGCAATGCGATTAAGTGTGTTTTATTATGAAATGCACTAGATGTGCTTTACTTCTCCAATCTGTCTGACCTACTGTCTGTCTCATTAGGATCTTTAGCAATATATCCTTTTGCCGTGCTTTGGTGGCGCAGTGGTTATCGTGCACGGCCCAATTACAGAGGCCTTGGTCTCGACGAGATTGACCCGGGTTCAAGTCCGCCTGTGGTTCTTTGCCACATGTAGGGCTGGGTACCGAACTTCGGTACTTTTATGGTACCGACCGAAATGCTTCGGTTCTACAGAGTATCGAAACATGCCTCGTCTTTCGGTACCAAGTTTCGGTGATTGGCTGGAACACTTAAGGTGATTGCGTCATCCAGGAAAAATACACAGGTGGTCACGCCTACAGCCAGGGTTCATGTGTATCTTTTGTGAACTGGTTGCAGCGTCGCGGAACCCCTTTAAAATGCCCCCCAGGTCAAAAGTGCGGCTTCACTTTATTAAGACTGATGCTAATAGTGCACAATGCAATACATCGTGCACGGAAATAATTTAAGAGCAGAAAGTCGCTCTGTGTTTGACTGCAAGAAGAGCGGACCGCAGCCAGCGCGACCATCCTCCTCTCAGCAGCCCGTGGGCAGAGCAAAGCCAGAGCGGAGTGAATCATGCTGCTTTCAAACTGGACGCAGCAAGAGCAGCAAAATCTCATCTGCTGCTTCATTTTTGCTGCTTGTACCAGCTTCTGACGCGCTGCTGAAGAAGCTTTGCTGCTCTGGCTGCGCGGTCGCAAAGTGGGTCAGACGCGCGTTGGGCGGAGCTACTCTATCCTTTATTTGCCTTGCAGCTATATTTGCTGTGATCAGTGGGAATAAAGTAGTTTTATTATGTTTTTAAGTGGGAAAATCCACCTGAAAACGTAATCAGTGCAGTCAGTTCATCCTGCCTTCAATATTTCTGTCGGAGCCGCTCAGACCCCCCCCATACCAGCGGTGCGCTGTCAGTAGGATCCCATTCAACGGGCTTGTTTGTCAGACATGGTAATTTTTCTAAAGGAAAACTGCTAAGTAAAAAGGTCCTCACAATGTAACAGTGAATATTAGACACTGAATTATTTATTTTTTTATGTAAGAGGAAAAATGTAAATGGAAAAACAGAGCTTAAAATAAAACTCAAGATTTGTACTTTTTTATGTTGTGTAATTTTCTTTTTTTTCGAATTGATATTATAAAACTGGTATCGAAAAAAGTATCGTTCAGGAACCGGTATCGAAGTGAAGGTATCGGTATTGGTACCGGAACCGAAATTTTTTTAACAATACCCAGCCCTAGCCACATGTCTCTCTCATACCACTTTCCTGTCAGGCAACTGTAGCCACTAGTGCTGCAAAAACCTCAAAAAAAACAAAAAATATTTTGCGTTGTCATCAGTGAAGTCAGTCCCTATCTCTAAGGGGAAACAGAGTAGGCTCCCAGCGCTGCATAGCCTGTGTGAATTTCAGCAGTTATGATAATGGCTTTAATTTGGGACAGAGAGCAAGAGAGGCCAGAGTCTGTTCGCATTGCCTCCAGGATCTCACATCCTCCATGTTCGCTTCACTCCGCTCATGTATGCTCATCAACTCTGTTATGTTAAATAATTAGAACAGTTCCACTAAGAAACAACTCCAACATCACTGTCCGCAAACCTGCTCCCCATCCTTCACTATTAGAATATAGAATCATTTTCTGATGCGCTCCAGCCTGCTTTGCTCCAGCCTAACCTCCTGTGTCTGCTCTCTTGGGGCTTCAAAGAACTAGGAGCAGAGCTCGACAGTGCTCCACGGATGTGACAGGTGTTGCCTTTCATGAAATTATGGAGGCGGTTTGCAGCAGAACTGCCTTTAGGGTTTGGAAGTTGAGATCTAGAGGACATAAGGATGTTTGTCATTGTGGAGCTGCTGTTAAATCCCTGTGGCACATAAATGTAATAACAGTTTTAAAAATGAAAAACGGAGAGAAGATGTTCCATTGTTTCATTGTCTTGTTTTATGTATTTACGTTTTCATAAAAAAAGGTCACCAGACCTTCTTGGAAAGACGTTGATATGCTTTCCATGTGCCTGCAAGTGGTCAGATAATTAATAGCTGAATAAATCAGGCAGTAGTTCATGACATTAGTTTTAATCATTCTACATCAGGGTGGAGTACCTGCATAGCGTACGGTGAGATCAACAGACTTTATTATTGGATAATTGTTTTAGCATTTTAGTCTCAGTTGCGTTGATTCTGTAATATTGGTGAATATGTTTGGTATACATGACACATTTAAGTTGCAGTGCCTCTTTGGCCCTGTTTCCTTTTTTTCTATGCCTTTCTGTCTTCCAAAGGCATTACAATGAGAATCATAGAATAAACTATATTACTAGAATCTTACAAGAACCTTAGTGAACAAAATGTTTCTTTTAGACTAAGGAACACACCATACAGGTCAGGGATGAAGTTGTGAAGATATTTAAAGCTGTATTAAGTTCCAAAGCAATATCCTGAGCTTTGAACATCTCATGAAGCACTGTTAGATCCATATTTAAAATTAAAGATAGTCTTACTGCAAACCTACTAGGGTGGGGCTATTGATTTAAACCACTGGTGTCAAACTCAAATAATCGATGACCAGTGTCCTGGAACTGTTAGATACACTATATTGCCAAAAGTATTTGCTCACCCATCCAAATTATTGGAATCAGGTGTTCCAATCACTTCCATGGCCACAGGTGTATAAATTCAAGCACCTAGGCATGCAGACTGTTTTTACAAACATTTGTGAAAGAATGGGTCGCTCTCAGGAGCTCAGTGAATTCCAGCGTGGAACTGTGATAGGATGCCACCTGTGCAACAAATCCAGTCGTGAAATTTCCTCGCTCCTAAATATTCCACAGTCAACTGTCAGCTGTATTATAAGAAAATGGAAGTGTTTGGGAACGACAGCAACTCAGCCACGAAGTGGTAGGCCACGTAAACTGACGGAGCGGGGTCAGCGGATGCTGACGCGCATAGTGCGAAGAGGTCGCCAACTTTCTGCAGAGTCAATCACTACAGACCTCCAAACTTCATGTAGCTCAAGAACAGTGCGCAGAGAGCTTCATGGAATGGGTTTCCATGGGCGAGCAGCTGCATCCAAGCCATACATCACCAAGTGCAATGCAAAGCGTCGGATGCGGTGGTGTAAAGCACGCCGCCACTGGACTCTAGAGCAGTGGAGACGCGTTCTCTGGAGTGACGAATCGCGCTTCTCCATCTGGCAATCTGATGGACGGGTCTGGGTTTGGCGGTTGCCAGGAGAACGGTACTTGTCTGACTGCATTGTGCCAAGTGTAAAGTTTGGTGGAGGGGGGATTATGGTGTGGGGTTGTTTTTCAGGAGCTGGGCTTGGCCCCTTAGTTCCAGTGAAAGGAACTCTGAATGCTTCAGCATACCAAGACATTTTGGACAATTCCATGCTCCCAACTTTGTGGGAACAGTTTGGAGCTGGCCCCTTCCTCTTCCAACATGACTGTGCACCAGTGCACAAAGCAAGGTCCATAAAGACATGGATGACAGAGTCTGGTGTGGATGAACTTGACTGGCCTGCACAGAGTCCTGACCTCAACCCGATAGAACACCTTTGGGATGAATTAGAGCGGAGACTGAGAGCCAGGCCTTCTCGTCCAACATCAGTGTGCGACCTCACAAATGCGCTTCTGGAAGAATGGTCAAAAATTCCCATAAACACACTCCTAAACCTTGTGGACAGCCTTCCCAGAAGAGTTGAAGCTGTTCTAGCTGCAAAGGGTGGACCGACGTCATATTGAACCCTATGGATTAGGAACGGGATGTCACTTAAGCTCATATGTGAGTCAAGGCAGGTGAGCAAATACTTTTGGCAATATAGTGTATGTCCCTCGCTGTACACACCTGCATCAAATGGCTTAACTTTCTCAGTAGCATGTAGTCAAGCACCGCAGAGCTCTGTTAATCAGCTTATATTGGAGTCAGATGTGTTGAAGCAGAGATGCATTTCAGAGCAGAAGGACATACGCCCTCAAGCACTGGAGTTTGAGACTACTGATCTAAACTGACAGGCCAGACAATGATAGCTTTGGTTGAGAAAGCAGTCAAGACATCCAGGTTCACTCTGGTAGAGGAATCTGTGGAACTAAT